TGAGTGTGTGCGCGCGCGCGCGAGTTGAATGGGGGTGGCCTCCTGCGCCCAACCTGCTGCATTTTAGGTGCTTGTCTCTCTTTGGGATGTTGTGGCCGATTGTGTGAAAAGTGGACGGAGTAGTGTTGCTGCGCGAGGTTTCCTCTGCGTGTGTCTATTTTTAGATTAGGTGTGAGTCGCATTTGAGACTGTGAGTGTGGAGAATTGAAAGTGATTTGTGGATGTGATTGTGACTTTGCCTGGAATCGTGTTAGCTGCTGTCTGAGGTTGTGAATGACAAGTGGGGCCTGTAGGTTGCTGTTTCTCTGAAGGATGTTTGATTGACTGTGACTCTGCATGTGTTTGTAACCTACTGTTACTTCTGGTGGTTTTGTGGCCTTGGTGACCTAAATATTTGAATGATTGAGGAACTCTGTTATGACCATGGCTAGTTGGTTATGTAAGATTTGATTATCTGAATAGTAGCCATTAAACCTCCCTCCAAAATTGTAACTAATCAGCAATTTAGCAAATAAAATAGAGATAACAGTATCAGAGGGGAAAAGGTGATTTTCATAATTCCCAGATTCGTTACCTGGAAACACTATATTAACTAAAACCAATATGTTGAAATGAATAGCGTTCCACTGGGGGCCATGCAGGAAAAAAAATTTTTTTTTACCATAGCTACCACTTTTGTTGTTGTTTTTGTTTGTTTGTTTTAAGATGGAATCTTGCTCTTTTGCCCAGGCTGAAGTGCAGTGGCGTGATCTCTGCTCACTGCAACCTCTGCCCCTGGAGTTCAAGTGATTCACCTGCCCCAGCTTCCTGAGTAGCTGGGACTACAGGCTTGCGCCACTACACCCAATTAATTTTTGTATTTTTAGTAGAGATGGAGTTTCACCATGTTGCCCAGGCTGGTCTTGAACTCCTGACCTCAAGTGATCCTCCCCCTCCAGGCCTGCCAAAGTGCTGGGATTACAGGTGTGAGCCACCGTGCCTGTCATAACTACCACTTTCAACACTTCTATATGAGTGAGGTTCCCTACTCCCTTAGACATGCTAAGATAATAAAAAGTATTGGATAGATTTTTAATAAGTCCAGTCTCACTGTAATAATTAAAATTGTTATTTTGCGGGCCTGGCGTGGTGGCTGATGCCTGTAATCCCAGCGCTTTGGGATGCCAAGGTGGGCAGATCACCTGAGATTGGGAGATCGAGACCAGCCTGACCAACATGGAGAAACCCCGACTCTACTAAAAATACAAAATTAGCTGGGTGTGGTGGTGCATGCCTGTAATCCCAGCTATTCAGGAGGCTGAGGTAAGAGAATCGCTTGAACCCGGGAGGTGGAGGTTGTGGTGAGCTGAGATTGTACCATTGCACTCCAGCCTAGGCAACAAGAGTGAAACTCCGTCTCAAAAATCACACACACATCTTTGGAGAAAGGAATCCTACTTTTGGGGCCTCAATATCATATCTTCCCAGGACCTTGCCTTGGGAGCAATTCCAGCTCTAACATCTCCGTATCAAACACAAGGCTGTGCATATCAGTACACAGCCTTGTCCATGTGAAACACAAGGCTGTGCTTTTTCAGTTGGAAACTTCATTCTGGATCTCAAATATCCAGCTTCCCTTTTGATAGCCATTTGACTGCACACTGTGCAATGTGGTTATAAGGTGAAATGACTGAGGCAGTGAAAGAAATCCCAGTACAACAAACTCTTAAGAAATCACGCAACTTAAAATTGGCCCCAGATGTTGGCGAGGCTGCATGCCACTGTGCATTATGCTTTATGAAAGCGACAGGGGCCATGCTTTAGAACAGAAGGTCTCGGAGTCTTCCACAGACACAGATCGAGCCACACAGCGATTTTGTCCACCTATTCCCGAGCCCCAGAACTGCAGAAATCAAACTCTGTAAAGCTGCACCAGGCCAGTTTTGACCACAGTCTCCAGTGGGTCACAACAGCGCTATCACAGGATCACTGATAACAGCATGACACGTTCACAGTCATCGCTCAGCGCCGTCATAAAAACGGCCTCGCCCCCACTCGGTCCCGCGGACCCAATAGGGGACAGTCAGGGCTGTCCCGGCTGTGCACCTGCTGTGCACATACCCCGCACCCGTCCCGGGCCCGTCACAGGCGCGCCCACTCACAATCACACCACACACGGACGCAGCCACAGAACCGCACACACACACACAGTCACACAGTCTCCCTCCCCAGCAGGTAACTTGCACACAGGCCTGGGGCTTCTGCCTCCACAAGCCCTCTCCGCGCCCCAGGAACCCGGGTCCCCTGCCGTGAGCTCCTCTCGCATCCAGACCAGGGTCACCTCAACTCACCACACGGAAAACGACCACCAGGTTAACGGAAAAGGGAGCCGGGGTCCTGGGAGAAGCGTAGTCCCCGTCGCAATAGAGTCGGCGTGGGTGCAAATGGAGGGGAGCTCCCGCAGCGAGCACCGCGCGGCGCCTAACGGGCCGCCCCGGAGACTCCTGGGAGCTCAGGCCCACGCGCGAGTGCGCAGGCGCAGACTACTCACCCTGGGCCGGGGGTGAGGCTTGGTGGGTGCCAGGGGTGCTGAGGAGGCCGAGGAGGGCACTGGGAGCTCCGTTCCGGGAGAGCTGTCTAAGGACGCGGAACCGGGTGGGGAGGCCAGGGAGGTAACCA